AGTCAATGTCACAAATTAATAAACAAAAGTGTTTGAACAACCCAAACCTGCGTTAATGGAAGACAGAAAATATCGGCCTCTCTTCTTGCCAGGTCAACGTTCTATAACAAATTATTAAGAAAATATTATAGTCTGGGAAACACCGAATGGACAACTTGTCAACCTCATTACACAGAAACAAATTGGCGAATTACCCTGATGTTTTGCATGTGCCTCTAAATTTAAAAAAACCCAAAACAACAACAACAAAACCCAGCAAAAAAACAACAACAAAATCTCGATTTTCGTGCAGAATATGCAACACATATAAGAGGTGTTTTTAAATAAAAGATAATCATTAGTATTTAATAACAGTGTGCGAAAGTATCTTTTATTAAAACAAGAAAGGTAGTTGAGTGTAAGCTTTTTGTTTGTTAATGTTGTTGTTTTTTAAAACTGACGGCATGTACCGCAAGACTGAGTTGTTTTCAGTCCAGCGGTTAGTACTGTAGGTGACAGTAGGTTTATTTAGAGTGACTATTATTGTGATATACAATGAGTAAAATTCCTTTCATATATCTTCATAGTCTGTTAGATCGCATGCATTCCAATTTGCTGACGCTTTTTCATTAATCACCATGGTTAGATTACAGACCAAATTGATTGTTGCCTTAAAACTATTGAAAAATGTCTCCAAAGAAGCTGATCGATGCCTTCTCTTTTATTCTATAACACATTCCTAAAAAAGGACAAGACATGTATGTGTAAATATATATGGAGAGGGTTCTGCCTATGGACCTGCACCTGGGGATGCCAGGGGGGGGGGGGGGGGATGTCCAGTGACATGCCCATTAGTGCTTCAAATTGAGCGCTCTCTTGACCCCCGGTTGTGGGTTTGACCAAACTTTATCCTATATATTATGTCAGGATTTTCTTTTCTTACTCCAAAGCCTGGATCAATAATTCCCTTGAAGGCTTACCCTTGTGCAAGGAAAAATCTTGGGACTGAGCACAAACTTACATTTATTTGTTGAAAAGTCACTGAGCAAATACAGAGCTCTGTTTTTTTGTAGCTGTCTGTATTACAGTAAAGCAACGCTGATCTCACCTGTATCAGATCAGTATTACAGTAAAACAGTGATGAACTCACCTGTATCAGATCAATATTACCATAAAACAATGTAGATCTCACCTGTATCAGATCAGTATTACTATAAAACAATGAAGATCTCACCTGTATCAGATCAGTATTACATTAAAACTCACCTGAATCACGAGCCAGCCGCCACCGTCGGTTTTAGTATCGCAGACAACTTCCATTCCATTGTAAAGATGAACAACTGGACGAGGTTCAGAACCGTGCACGTCAGCACATGTTTCGAACTGAAGATAAATCCACACAGAGAGAAAGACAGTCAGAGAGAGAGAGAGAGAGAGAGAGATCAGAGAGCCAGTGAGAGTCAGGGAGAGTTA